TTGGTAACGTGGGGGCGCGGCTGCTGCCCTCCAGCCACTGCCCCGGAAAACCCACAGGAGATGGGGCCAGGGAGGAGCAGTGAGATGGGATCAAGAGGCAGTTCCTGCAGAGGAGCTGCCGTGGGGTAAGTCCACACCTTATCTGGCCCCGTGGCAGCTCGCTCTGCTCTGGCTCTGGGCTCTGCTAGTGCCGTCTGCGCCTGTCAGAAGGCCTTGCATGCTTCAGCGGTTCCTCTCCCAGCTCGGGAGTGTGGAGCCTGGCAGGATATTTTTCAGTGGAGCCTGGCAGGATGTTTTTCAGTGGAGCCGTGGGATTCAGGAAGGAGCTGAGCCTTTTTGCAGGGTGTGATGTGCCTCCTTGGCTTCAAAGCACTAAGGAGATTAGAGTCCAGGCCCCCAGGGAGGGACGCCCTGCTCCTCTTTGTGCTTTCAGATGAACAGCAATCCAGTATTTACAGACACCAAATCGATTTAGCAGAAAGAGTCAAGAACTCAGAACATCCTAGGAACCTCAGCCAAAAGCCCTGCACCAAGCGGGGTCCTCAGCAGCCAGGAGTGACCCTTGAGACCCCAGACCCTGCTGCTCCCTGGCCCTTTTTGTAGCAGAGATTCTTGCTGACAGAAAACCTTCAACAATGTGGTTTGGGTTCAAAGGAGCGAGTGAAGGGGTTGCCAGTGAGGAAGTGCCTGGTTTCCTCCATGGAAATACTCAAAACCCAGCTGGACATGATCCTGGACAACCTGCTCTGGTTGACCCTAGTCGAGATCACTGGGTGATCTCAAGAGGTCACCTTTCTGTGACTTGGCAGGAGTATTTGACATGTGAATGGGAGTCTCTGGCTATTTTTTATCCCTGCTGTCCTGGAATCCAAGCACAGGAGACTCAGTGAATGCCCCCAAACACTCTGTGAGCACAGTGGTGTTGTGCCCAGTGCCATCCAGGGGTCTAGCTCCACATGAGCTCACAGAGTGTTCAGGAATTTCCCCTGGCATTCTCCACTTGCAAGGATGCTGGACATGCAGCTCCCAGTCTGGAAACCTTCTTCTCCTCCTCACTTTGCCTGTCAAACCTCAACTGCAGCAGGAGAAACAAAGAGCCAGCCTTCAGCAGCATCTCCCTACCGCCTTGTGCACCCCTCAGCCTTGTCTGCTGGGTACACCAGGGCATCCCACTTGTCCTCGTGGGGCTGTGAGAAGTCACTCAGCCCAGCTACTGTCATTGCAGAGGCTACTGCTCTGCTCTCTGCAGAGCCCTACGCTGCCTGGGCGTCCCAGGGGCCACACAGGAACTCACCCACACTTGCCTTTATTTTTAGAGGCTAGTTTCTCAGCTTCCCTGGGGGTCTTGAAGAGGACTGGCTCACTGGCAGGGCTCTGGCCTTGGATGCTGATGGCCTGGACATGCACAATGTACTCAGTGTCCTCCTCTAGGTCCCAGAGGGCACAGGAGCGGGTGGTGGTGTTCACCTCCTGGATGAAGCGCAGCATCCGCACGTCCTTCTTCTGGAAGCCGAGAGAGGAGAGCACAGAGTGGTGGAGAGGCCTCTCGTGTGCACTGCTGTCATCTAAGACCACTGCTTCCTGCCCTGTCCACCACGGCCGTGGAGACCATCAGACCCTTTCCTCTCTGCAGCTGCCAACAGGGGAAGTGCTGCTGCAAAGAGGACGGGAAGCCGAGTCCCCTCCCAGACCACGAGGGACAGGACGAGAAGAAATGGGCTTAAACTGCAGCAAGAGAATTTGGAAACTGAGGGGACCTGGGGGGAAGATGGACACGACTGAAACTGGGTAACTGTAGGCACCGTACCTGTTGGGAAATTGCAAATCCAATGACAACTTCATCTTCCAGAACATCCCAAGTCACAACGGCCGAGTTGGCTTTCAGGTGTTTGACTGTGACATTGACTGGAGCCGAGGGGCTGTCTGCAAGGAGGGAGAGCAGAGCCTTTACAGAGGCCATCACAGCCACGGGCAGCAGACAGCAAGGGCAGGGGAGTGGGAGAGGACCTCTCTCAGCATCCTTCCTCTGCGTGGTTCTGAGGATGGGACCTGGAAACTGAAGGTACTCCATGTCTTAATTACCAGTGAGCTTCTAGGAGATCTCCGCTGAGAAGATCAGTTGCATTAGACACGTGTGGAACAACTGACCCTTGGAAAGAGTTCCTTTTGACAACACAGCAGAGCACCGAGTAGCTCATTCATCTCATTCATCTCATCTCATCCTTCCCAGCCACGTACCACGGTTTCTCTGTTGTTCCCTGTGCTGGTCTGACAGTGACAGCTGGGAGGAAATGCAAAATCTGCCTGGGAAGTATCAACACAGAATGCTCTGATGAGCACTCGGGAGGTTTGAAACTCAGGAGAAGTGAATGGGAGTATTTCTTTTGCTTTTCCCTGTTAGTTTGACATAAAATCTTTCATACACGTTTTGTGGCTGATGAGCTGTCTCTCAGATGGTTGGAGAACATCCAGCAACCACCTGCTTACAGCTAACAGGACAGAACACTCCACAACAGCATGGAGGGACCAGTATTTTGTGGAAAGGACAAGCCAGGAAAGCAGCAGCCCCAGGCTCTGGGTTTATTCACACCTCCAGAGCCTGGCTGAGTCTCCAGCTGCAGGGAGGATCTGGCAGCCTTGCCAAGGAGAGCTGGACTCTGGTGGCCTGGCTGGGCTCCTGCACACCCTCACCAGGAGCCTCTCTCCAAGGGAGCTGCACAGCACAAAGCCCTTGTTGGCATCTCAAGGAGAAGGTTTTACCTCGTGGGCTTGGCACAGTCCTTCCAGCACTCTGTGCAGCAGGTTGGACTCCTTTGGCCTCTCCTCTGGTCAAATTTAGCTCACCATCTCCAGCTTGTTCCCCAAACCCAAGGGCAGTAATTGCTAAAGAGAGTTCTAAGACTCTGGCTGCCCCTGGAAGGTCAGCAGGGTGAGGAGGAGTTGTTTTTTCTGACAGAATACTCCTTTGATTCCTTTGTGAGCGTAGCACAGCACTGCCCTGCTGGGGCTGGGGTTGAGGTCAACAGTAAAAGAAGGACACACGTGTGCACGTCTCCAGTGACACTTGTTGGATTTATAGTCAGTCCTAGACGCCTGGATGTGGCTGAAAATATTCTAGCTGTAGTGTCAGTGTCTCCTAACAACTGACTTCACTCCCGGTGAATGTTCCCCCGGGAACAGAGGAAATAACAGGAGCACAAAATTCCCCAGCTGAAGGTCAGCAATGTTCTACACTTAGCAGAGTGATGACTTAATTCCTTGCTCTCCTCCCCAAACAACACCCAGAGGCCAACCTTCAGAGCTGCCCTTCCCAGCAGATGGGAGCCCCACAACCCACCAGCCAGACCCTTAGCAATGGGGTGTCTGGGCCAGCCCTTGGGATCCAGGCTGAGTCTAGTGAGTGCTTCAGTGAGCAGAAAGGTGCCTGAAAGTTGCATGGCTGAGCTCATACAAATTTGGGACTTCAGAAGGAGGAGCAGCAAGCAGTCGTGGTCTCCAGGGTTTCACTGGGGGAGTAGAAGAGCTCTGCAGTAGATGATCAAGTCAGAGTAGAAGAGCTCTGCAGTAGATGATCAAGTCAGTGTTGACCCAGAACATTCTCATCTCTGAGGGGCTTCACAAAATGGGGCAGTGGTCTCCAGCCAGCTCTCAGAGAATGGAAACACTTCTCATCCTCCCCTTCTGCTGCAGCAGCAGGGGCAAGGACAAGCTGAGCAGTGGAGACAGATCATCCTCCTCACCCTGACCACCAGCACCTTCCCTGCTGTGACACGAGGAGGGGACGTGGCTCTGCTGCTCCTCACCTTCCCCCGTCACTGAGCCAACGAGAGGAGGGTCTAATTTTAGGAAGGGGCAGTCAGCAGATGGGAATGCAGACGGGGAAGGTCTGTGAGTCACGCCTGATGAATTTGCTAGAACATAGGGAGGACATGACGGGGTTGAGAGATGGGAGACAAAACAGTCTCCAGCTGCAGCCGGGCACTTCGCCCTTCTCGGAGTACAGCTGTACACACAACTCCCCCCATGCCTGTCTCTCCTGGATATTTTTAGGAGCTACATTTTTTTTTTTTTAGGAGCTACCACTGATTTACCCAGTTTAGGTGGAGGAGATCTTTGAAAAGAGATGAATTCACCCCAGAAGAACAGAGAGCAGAGTATCAGGGAAGAAGCTTCAAGCTGGGAAAAGGGAACATCCAGGATGCCACACTTAGTGCCCCAGTCCCCTTTGGAAGTTGTGACCTTGATGGAGGCACAGCATAAAAAAATGTCTTAAGTTTCCCCATGACCTAGAAGTGAGGAAGTCAGGAAGACCTGGCAGAGCTGGAGAAGAGCAAACAACTTCTCTGGGAACGGGGAGAAACAACTTGTGGGAGCAACAACAAACAACTCTGGGAGAAGGAGAAGGGAAGCACTCGGCAAAGCTGTAACCCAGGGCTCAGAGCCTGCAGAGCAGGACTCAGAGTGCAGGCAGGGGAGGAATCAGCTGGTGTGGGTGGCTGAGAGCACTCTAGGAAAAAAACCTTCATAGTAATACCTGGGAGTGAGATGGGGTAGGTGAAGTCAGGAGATAATCCAGTGAAATCTAGGAGAGCAGATCTGAGCGTGCCTTGCCTTTCACTGCCACAGATCAGGAGCAGCTACACATAAATCAGTGTCAAACCATTATAAAAGTGATATGAAAAGAGAATTAAGCACGGGCTTTTACAGAAATACAAAGCCAGGAAAATTAGTTTCCTGCTCGCAGAGCTGAGTGAATAATTTGGAACCAAAATTTGAATCCCTGAGGATGCTGTTCCCCCTGCTCCCAGGAGGCCCATGATGAGATCATGGATTTCTCAAATCCCATCCCTATTCCAGGATATTCCACACCACTTTTGGCTCCCTGGGCCAGCTGCAGCTCTTTGTGGTGCCAGCCTGACTGAGGGCAGGTGGACAAGATGCAGTTTCTGTTTCCTGGCTGACTGTAGGGGGTCAGCATCTCTAGCAGGGCTTTGAGGTGCCAAATCCAAACATTTGGTTCTTCCTAGAGTCATATGCAACTCCTGGAACCTTTGCTCCTGTGCCTGCACTGGCCAGGGGAGCTGTGGGTGTTCTGGGAGCAGGCACAGAGGATGGGGTGGCCTCAGGAGCTCTTATTTCCCTGCTGTGCACCAAACCTTTCCCCTGCATGTTTCCCCAGAGGCAGCACTTCCCCTGCCTGCTGTCAGGGACTCATCTGGCACAAGGTTTCTGGCTTAGCAGTTTAACCCCATCCCAGCACAGAGGGGGTGGTGCCCACCAGAGCAGATCACACATTGCAACCTGGCAGAGGGTCTGTTTGGCCACACTTGGGTGAGAGCTGCATGCTCAGAGAAACCCTCTCCTCCTCATGGCAGCAGAAACTGCAGCCCTCTCTTGAAGGGGAAGCCCTGATTAATTAAGATGCAATCATGATTTTTTAAATCCAAACGGCTGCTTCAAAACTGGTCATGCTTAACCCACGTCTTGTTTCCTTCCCACAGGGACCCTTCCTCAGGTGAGTGGCAGTCCTGCACCCCCCAGAGCTCCGTGTCCCAGCCCTCCCTCAGTCCTCACCACCCTGGGCCCTTCTGGCAAGAGCAGGTGAGAAGCTCCTCTGCACAGCAAGGAGACAGCAGCGATGAAGATTACCCTTAATCCCCTCCTCATGCTGAGAACTCCTTCTAGCTTCTCATTAAACGCTTTGCTGCTTATTAATGGACTTTTATATGAGAGAGAAAAAAAAAAACCCAACCCGCACTTTACAGCTTTGGGCTGATTCCTCCCTGGCTTTTCACTGCCGACACAGAGGCTGCTGGCACAAGGAATTGGAAACCAGCTGCCTGCCCCTCGTGGTGACTTCCCTGCCTGGATGGGATGGGGAAGGAGAAAGAGAAGGGTGAAGGTTTGTCTCCATCCCAGTGCTGCTGTCACCTGTGAAGGTGGAGCTGCTGATCCAAGGTGGTGGGGTGAGCAAAGGGGGTGTCCAGGGTGTCTTGCCAAGATCAGGGAGGTACCCAGGCCACAAAGCCATCACTGGGAGATGCTCAGAGCTCCTGGCCCCTCTGCCACAGACCCTCTCCTCACGGTTGTGTCTCTCTCTTTTGACTTTTGAGGCCACTCTCAATGTGCACCTTCTGCCATGAGCTCTGATGGTGGGGCTGGGGGTGAGTCTTGGCCTTTAGCTGTGCAAGCTGCTGGGGGAATCATTGCTTAGAGTAAAAGGAAGAATCTCTGGAAATACCACACCCTTGGAGATTACCTCTGCCAGCCGAGTCGGGCTGTAGGTTTGGAATTTTCAGGTATATCAGCATATTCCTGAATTTACCTCTCCAGCCAAGGGGCCCAGCCGAGCCCCAAATCTGCTCCTTCCTAAATTCAACTGTCCTGGAAGCTCCAGCCCCTTGGCAGTGCCTGGAGTGAAAGGCAGTTGCTTCCTACATGGCCAGGGCTATGCTGCAGTCCCGGATTTTCCATTTCAGTTGGTTCCTCTCCCCCAGGCAGCTCCTTTCCTGTGTGAAGGGCTCAGCTGAGCCCCCAGGACACGGGTCAGAGAGCAGAGTGCCTGCCCGGGCTCGGGGGCGGCTCCTTCCATGCAAGCTTTGTGCCCTTTCCTGCGGGCAGCAGCGAACCTCAGCCTTCCATCCCAGCAGCGACTCATCCCTGCCCCTCACCCTGCCCTGTGGAAGGGGAGTGGGTGGGGGACGTGACCTGCAGGGCACAGGGACACCCGTGAGCTCCCGTGGGATGTTCTCGGCCAAGCAGCGCTGCCCGTCCCCGAGCGGGGGTGCAGGAAGACCTGCCCTGGATCCTTCCAGAGCCTGCCTTGCTCGCCCAGCACCGCCCCTTCGGGGGCTGTAATTGCCCACCAGCTTTTTGGGGGTATGGAGGGAGGGGCTGGCGCCTCGCTCGCCTTCCCCCGGCGC